TTTGTGTGGATCAGGCCCGTGACAAGCAAAAGATGGTGGGCTGTTTAGCTTGGTGGACTCTGGAAATGGCAGAATAATGGTTAGGTTGGTGTCTATCGGGGTAATCAGCTGTGGGGTCTGGGGAACGCTGCCCTTTCCAGTGGCCAAAGACAAGGTGGCGCAGGCCATCTCTGTAGGGGTCCGCCTAGTTTGGGGGCAACGTTTGGCCGAGGGCATCTTGGAAACTGGGTCTTCTCTGGGCTGGCAGCTCTCGCCTTGTCTCGTTCCAGGCCCTCCGAGGAAGCGGAGAGGAATCTGCGGAACATAAACGAGGACGAGGCCCGATCCCCAGGGATCCTCATTAAATGAGGTATGTCCAGGGAACTGCCCTTCCCTGCTCCTCCCGTGTCACGTTCTCAGGACCGCCCGTGTTAAGTTTTGAGTGGTGCATCGGGCGCTTTGTGAAGCCGAGGCTGAACAGGGGCGTACGTTGGGAGGGGACACAGCAGCAGAAGAAACATGGCACGAAATAAGAGATGTCCTTTTATTGTAATGTGGGATAAAGTTTACAGTTGCTCTCTCCTCTTCTCCAGTGCAGCCAGAACGGGAAAGGGGGTGAGTTTGCAGTTCCTGGAAAAGGTGGGCTGGGCTGGGCTGGGGTTAGCCTGAGACGGACTCCGTGGTCTGTCCAGCTGTCTTAACATGTGGTCATTTCCTTGACAGGGACCCTGCACCGTCCAGCGTGATGCTCGGCGCTCCAGGACCAAGACTGACAGCTGTTTGTGCAACAACTGTTGGTCCTCTCTCTCCTCCTCCAGACTCTTCCTTGCGTATTTTTTTTACAAAGAGTTGTAATCTTTTTCTAACACGTGGCCTGGAAGCGGGTGGGCGTCATCTCTTCCTTGGTACCTCTCCGAGTTTGCATTTTTTTATATATATATATAAAAAAGGAAAAGAGAACAAAACAAAACAAAAATGTGCCAACCTCCTGCAGGACCACGTTTTGAGGGTCTGCTCTTCCATTGCACAAGGACCTCGAAACCTTTACGCTTCCTCTGGAAAGTGAAGCCGCTGACGGCGCGTGGGGGAATGACAAGGCTGCCCGCCCTGAGGTCTCACTGCTAAGAAAGCAATCGGGATCTTGTGGCCAAGCGTCACGTTTCAATGGGGGAAAGGAGCTTTGGACGGACGGGTGGACGGACGGACGGATTTTGCCGTGCTGTGGCGCTGGACAGTTCCTTGGCCTTTCTTTGGCTATAGTTGGAGATGTCTACGAACGTTCAGATTCTTCCGCCCTTGCTTAAAACACCCTTTTTCCTCTTGAGCAACCTCCTCTGTCTCTGGGCTGAATGCCCCGGGAACATCTGTACCTGATCCAAGGACAAATTAAATATTTCCTGCTCACAGGACACTCGCGGGAAATTTGGGGCCAAGACCGGATTTGAAGAAATGCTTTTTTGTGATACTGATGGAAACCAACCAACCTACCTTCCTTCCTTCCTTCCTTCCTTCCTTCCTTCCTTCCTTCCTTCCTTCCTTCCTTCCTTCC